GACAGGTGCTGCCCCTCGCCCAAGAACTGTGGACATGTGGAGACAGAAACTTTTCACAGGGGATTATTGGTGACTTTGGCAAGAGCTGTCATAGTGAAGAAGAGAGGTATTGAGGAGAAGTGAGGTAGAGAGGTAGAGGCACAGATTTAAGAAATGAATAGGTAAGGAAATGCATTTAGACTATTATTTTAGGGTGCGAGGCAAGAGAGAGACAACTGTGTGGAATTTTTTTTTTAAGCTGGCAAATAGTCAAGCATTTTAAATAATAATAGTCAAACATTTTTAAACCTATGTAAATGGAATAGGGAAATCTAGGATGTAGGAAGCTGAAATCAACTAGGGAAAATCCTGAAGGACATAGGTGAGTGTAGAGGCAGAAATGGAAACTCCCTCTGGGTGAAGGGATTCACTCCTAAAGAGACCTTGGGGCAGAGGAGATGTGGATAGTTGTGGTTGCAGGTGAAGTTTTAAGTAGGAAGGGTTGGCAGTTTTTAGCTTCTTACATGAAGGTGCTCAATTTGAATTTAGAAACAGGAGTTGGGAGAGAGAGAAAGACAGGGAGAGAAGGGGGGTATGAAATAAATACTTGGCTAAGGAAGTTGACTACAAAGGAAAGAAAATTTACACAGAATATGTAAAAAGAAAAGTTTGGATGGAGGGGACTATGGCAGTTTTCTGTTGTTTCCTTCATAGCAATGAATTTTTTCTTAGAAATCTTAAGACTAACCAGAGACATTTTATGGGGGTGGGAAGGAGAATGGGATCAGAACTGGGGTGAAGAGTGCACTGGACTATGGTGATGGCACAGGATGTGGTCATGGTAGAAAGCACATGGGGATTACAACTGAAATGGAAATATGTACAAAATTAAGAATGATGTAAAAATATAAAAAATAAAATAAAAAATAAATCTTAAGACTAATTATTATCTCCCCTCCATAGCACTTTTTCATACCAGAAGGATAGCACTTATGACCTTGTGTTATACAAAGAGGTATCATTCTCCCAAGTGAGAACTGTAAGCATCTGAAATAATTCCTACTTCTTCCCCCATCATTGTACCCTACACACTATCATGATTTTTCAGATCAGGTAGTTCTCAATCAACATTTGTCACATTATAAAATTTCTGAGCTGGATTTATATGGGGTGACTCAATTGAGTCTTCTCTGCAAGTACATACAGAGTATGTTTTCAGGACTGTGATTTAGGGTCGTTTGGGTTGATCTGCTGTGTTCACAGATAGTGTAAGGCCAATATTTTTGGCATTTAAATTAAAATAAGGGCCCTCCCTGGTGACACAAGGGGTTGACACACAACACTTGAAGCTCTCTGCAGCCATTGCAACAAGAGTTTTAACTCCAGCCAGGGAGGTGTCCCACATGGCGCAGCAGACCTCTCCTGTCTCTCATCACCTGCTGTTCCCCTCGGCAGTGTATTTCAGTAATTCTACCTATTCTGCTCCCCACTCTGTATCTGGTGGGTTCTCTTACCCCCGGCGTCTCTGGCCTGCACCCTAGTCTTTTATGCATAAATAAATAAATCTTTAAAAATAAAATAAGTTCCTCATTTAATTTGTTAACTTATTTGTAACTGTCATTACTTATGGTCAAATTTATCTATTCCTATGTGTTTTAAATAGCTCTAGGCATCTTTTGATTATTCAGAATTTCCTTATTCTTAATTTTCTATATACCTTTATTTGCCCTCTAGACTTAAAATCTTTGCTTTGCAATTTTATAAACAAGCATAGGAAAAAGAAAAAAGTCAAGTCAGGTAATTTGCTACTTGATAGTGTTAAAGTAAATGTTTGTAGGAGATAAAATTGTAGTTAACAACTGATAAAATTGTATTTTGGGGGCACCCTAACTTATCACTTGTGCATGGGCTAGTCAAGTTATGATTTATGCAGATCAGCTTTACCTTGAGTTTATTGACAATATTTAGTCTCCTTAAATTGTTTTAGCTATAAATTTTTATTATAAGTAATGTGATACAATTAGTGCTTTCTGTATTCCCTAGGAAGATTTATTCTCTAAGCATAAATTATGAAATTGTGAAGTAGTTATTGACCACTTACTACTAACTAGAAACTTACTCATCATTGGGATGAGTAAGCACTTCACTGATAGATCTCTTTAGGTTAATATTTACAAGGTAAAATCTTGGTTCAAATAAATATAAAATGAACTATGTATTAAAGATTTTATTTCACACTAACAAGCAAGCCAGCATGTTGGTAAAACCATATTGGTTTTAAAAAATAAGGAAGAATAGACATTTTAGGTAATCAGGAGTGCTGAAATGAATTTGCTAATTTGATACAAAATTGGTCAATATCTTCATGGCAATGAAATGTAATTTTTAAAAATCCTTTCTTCCACCAGGTAAAAATCAATTGCGGAACAAGGTTTATTTGTTTCTCTCTGGACACAAATCATTTGCATCACCATCAGTTTAGGACAACTTACAAAATCATAAAATATCCCAGTCAAATACTACAGAAGTCACAGGCCCCTCCAGACTCAGAATCCCAAAAAATCTGTCAGACAATGTTCTCTACTCAATTGAAAGGACACCCAGAAATCTTTCTGTCCACTTCAAAGTGATTTACCATATTCTCTGACATCTTCCTTCCTTTCTAGTTTTAAAGCCATAGTACTTTCTTCTTTCCTTGTTTTATACTACAGTCTCCCTTTAATGTTCTCTTAGGGGAAATAATTACAACTCCAAGGATTTGAAGTATGCGATTAGTGATCCAGATTTTACCTGGGAATTCTAGTATTTGGCTATAAATGTAGAAAACTCAGAAGGGGTGAGTTGTGACACATAGAAGGTTATTTCAGAAAGCAAGCTTCTAGAAATGTAACCTGGATTTGCCAGCCAGAGAAGGTCCAGATTATTATATTAAAATGCTGTATTGCCTAGTTTTTAATACTGTCACCCCGAGCATTTATAGCACAGTATGACTTAAAAAACACTGCTCCCTGGTGATATGGCAGGTTGGGGCGCAGCACTGCAGGCTGGCCACAGCCACTTTAGTGCGAGTTCGGTCCCAGCCCTGTGGGTGACCCACATGGCCCAGCAGACCACTCCTGTCTCGCCCACTGCTCCCTCAGCGATGTGCTACGTCTGCCTGTTCTGCTCCCTGCTCTGTCTCTGGTGGGTCTTCTCGCCGCCCCTGAGCGTCTGACCTGTACCCCAATTCTGTATACATAAATAATTAAATGTTAAAAAAAAAGACGAGGTAAAATAAGCAAAGTTGAGTGGTTTAAGAAAAACACTTCTCCATGTATTTTCTCTTTAGATACTCACTGCAGTTCTGTGAAACTGCCCTGTAAATGAAAACAAAGAAAAGTTAAGAGAATTGTTTAGGGTCACATACTGAAAAGTGACAGAAGTAGCATTTCTGGATAGTACTTAGACTTTCTAAACATTGTCCAGTTCATCTTCCATTTTGCATCCTGGCATTCAACTAAATGGACATTTATTTAATAATATCCTGAGCCTGATTTTTAGTCTATCTTCTATAGCAGGAAGAAACCTTAATGATGAACTATTAAAGCTGACATTTTATTTATATTAGTGTTTTGTTTCTTGAGGGAAACAACTACTGAAGTTGATAACTGGCTGAGAAAATGGAAGACAACTATAATTTCCCCGTGTTCTTGCACATTTTAGATAAAAGATGAGTGATTGCATTTACTCCCCCAATCTTTCTTTTATAGGCAATAATATAGTAGTTTACCCTACTGAGAAGAGCTACTAGAAGATACTCTACTTTTTGGCAGCATCTGCTCTCGGTTTAAACCAGTCTTAGCGTTATGTTGATTGGTTTATGGTTTCTAGGTGGAAGAAATGCCTGTAATATACATTTGGAAATTGTTCTGAAGTTTCAATGAAGTATGGGGGTGAGAAAATGCTTTTCAAATGCACATATTCCTTTACAACACTTGCATACAAAATATCTACGCCTGTCTGTATTTTGCAGTAGGAAATAGCCACACGAATTACTTTTTTTCTCCTTAGTATTCTAAGAATTTCCATCCTACTGGAAAGAGATGATGTGATTCATGTGATTTGCTTTTTATAATAAAATACACTAGCCTTCTGCCTATTTTGTAAATGCAACATAGGAATAGAGATAAACTTCATGTCCGTTTAACAAGTTCTACTAGGAAGGAGTATATAGAAGTTAGTGCTGAATATAATATTCAGTTTTATTTTCTGTTTAAAATTTTCCCATATACTGAAAACCATATTTACATATATATATATACCCCAGGTATAACTTACATATGTGTGTGTGTGTGTGTGTGTCTACCACACACTTATATATACCATAAATCAGAGTGGATGGATAGAGAGATAGATGGATAGATAGATCAGTCAGTACGCAACAGTGATTTTTTTTTTAAGATTTATTTATTTATGCATACACAACTGGGGTACAGACCAGGGGTGCAGGGGCAGTGAGTGGATTCACCAGAGACAGAGTGGGGAGCAGAACAGGCAGATTAACTGAAATACACTGCTGAAGGGAGCAGTGGGAGGGTCAGGAGAGGTCTGCCATGCCATGTGATCACCTCCGGGGCAGGCGGGAATCGAACTCATGCTGAAGTGGCTTTTGCTTTGTAGTGCTGTGCCTTAACCTGTTGTGCTACCAGGGAGGGCCCAGCAATGATTACTTTTAAGCTTCCAAAATTAGATGCTACATCTGCATATTCCAGTATGTTTGCTGAATTTATTTCCAAGATGCATGGTAATATATACACTTTGTGTTACTAAAATTCATTAAGGAAAAGTTAGTGTTATCTACCAGCTATGCATGTAAATATTAAAATTATCTATTTTTCCTAACCTTTCCAGTCTTCTCTATAGCTGTCCTGCTTGCTGTAGTAAATAATTGAACTATTGCTTTTTATAAACTTAAGTTTTGTAACATACCTAAGATCTTATAGAATTCTATATTGAAATGAACCATTTTTTTTCTTTTCCAGGTTCAGCTCAATTAATATTTAATATCACAAAATCAGCAGAATACACCATTTGTAATGAAACTGTCGTCATCCCATGCTTTGTTGGTAATTCGGGAGCAAAGAGCCTTAGAGAAATATATGTAAAGTGGAAATTTAAAGGAAAAGACATTCTCATCTTCGATGGAGAAAAAGAAAGTTCCATCACCAACAATGAATTTAAGAGTGCAAAAATTTCGCCACCTGATTTACTGAATGGGATTGCCTCTTTGAAGATGGATAGGAGTGAAGCTGTCGTTGGAAACTACACTTGTGAAGTAACAGAATTAAGCAGAGAAGGGGAAACCATCATAGAGCTGAAATATCGTGTTGGTAAGACTTCTATAAAAGTTTCTCTTTTTTTCCTTTGGGCCACCTTGGTGGTTAAGTCTCAGCACTGTCACCACTATGACCCAAGCTTGGAAGTTAACCCACATGTGGTGCAGCAGACCTCCCATGTCTTGCCTGCTGCAGTGTAGTTTAGTGAGTCTTTCTGTTCTGCTCCCCATGTCTTGCCTGCTGCAGTGTAGTTTAGTGAGTCTTTCTGTTCTGCTCCCCACTGTGTTTCCAGTGAATCCTCTCACCTCCTCCCCATACCTCTCACCTACACCCCAGTTCTTCTATGCAAAAATTAAATAAAACAAATATATAAGTTTCCCTTTTTATTTTACCTGATCCTACTAGAAAGGAACAAAATTAGCTTGGCAATTCCTTTCAGTCAAAAAGCAGGCTATTAATATCAAATGTGGATGTAATGTTTAGCAACTTTAAGATCATCAGTTGTACCTTAATTGCTTTTCTACTTTTTACACTATTTCCTGTTTGTTAATCTGTTTATTGTGTGCTTCTCAAAAGTTTAGTCCAAGGACAATTTTATTAAGGGAGCAGGTCCAGAGGTCATCTACTCTACGTTTTTCTTCTTCGTCTATTTCAATATTTATTTATTTAATCATACAGAACTGGGGTACAAGCCTGAGGTGCAGGGGTGGTGAGAGGCTTCACCAAAACAGAGTGGGAAGCAGAACAGCCAGATTGACAAAGTACATTGCTGAGGGGAGCAGTGGGCGTGTCTGCTGAGCCTTGTGGATCGCCTCTGGCGGGGATGGAACTCTCACTGAAGGGGTTGCGGCTCGGTTGCCGTGTTGCGTCCTAACCTGTTGCACCACCAGGGAGGGCCCCATCTACTCTACATTTTTCTTTGCTGCCTTCAAAAGTACTTTCTTTCAGGTTATTAATTTTCAGCCTTTCTCTTTTAACCTTACACTTCGGTTCTTGGTTGTTGACAAGTGTGAGCCATGCTTCCTCTGCAAAGAACGAAGGAGAATCAGTAGATTGAGAAAATCAGATTACTGTGGATGGTTAACTCCTTGAGGTTTCCTCTGGTTAAGCCTTTGGTGTTCTTTTCCTTGGCTAATGTTGTGGGAGCACTAGGGATCCAATTTAATTTGTTTTAATTCAGTCTTGGTTATAAAACCATGATCTTCCCTTTCTTCATAAACTTGGGTTTATGAAGTGCATAAAGCAGTATGTAGTTTAAGTACGGCCTTATTTCTTTTCTATTCTTTGCTGTGCTAGCTGATTTCTTCAACCAGTACAAGTGCATTCTGACTTTCTATTTTAAAATTTCTATTTAGAATCATCAGCTACATTACTGATCTCAGGATTAGACCATGATCTGAGAATTCCTGCTTTAGATGGGATCAGGACTGTTCAATTAGATTGATTGTCTGTCATCTAGTCTAGCATTTGCTGTTATTAAATGTCTACTTGATTGGGAATTTAGTTTGATGGAATATTTTGACATTAGGAATCATTAATCTGCAACTTAACCAATCACCTCAAGAAGTTACTTTACTGACTGCAAATCAACCTATCTCCAAAGTGGGGTTGAAAATAGATTCCTACTTTTAAGTATTCTACCACCTAATGAGCATCAGATGAGACCCCTTTTATTCATGTTCTTTGTAAACCAATTGCTTTGCAAATGTTAGTTGTATCCCTGAGATACTGTTTTATGAAGTAAGATATCAAGTTGCTGAAACTGGCCAGGAGTGTTTTGAGAGGAATTTTCATACACTTAACGAATAGGGAACTGATAATTTAGAGTAGGCTAGCAGAACTTGGAAGGTTCTTTTACTCCTAAATCTTTCAAACATTGTAACTTTTATTAATTTCATATTAATTAGAGCTGTGGAACTTTTTAAGTTCAACTTTCAGAAGAGGGCTAAATCATATAATCATTTGCACTGTGAGTGACTGGAACTAGATAATCTAATAATTGATTATAATACCTATTACAAATTTTCTGAGGTAATATGTCGTTTCATGGGAATAAAAAAAAAAGATATGAGGGACCAGTAATTTTAGAGTGTAATGCCAATCACTGAGAGGTTAACACAAATATGAGATTTAAAAGGCCAGAAGGTGGAATGACAACGGATGAGAAAGGAATACATGTATCTGAGGAGAAGTCAAAGTTTATAATTTTAAGTGAGATCGTTTTATCTTTGTTTTTAAAGTTTACTATAGAAATATAAATTATGCTTACTGTTGGGGCCATTAAAATGAGAGAATATTGCTTTCCTATGGAGAATATAGAAAAGTCTATCAAAGGAGGCCTCAGACATTTGGTTTTTCACCTATTTTCTTCTTTGAAATAATGAGAGATTCATAGGAAGTTGTAAAGATAGAACAGAGAGGTTCTGTGCGGGGGTTCAGTTTCCCCCAATAGTTACATCTTATGTAACTCTAGGGCAATATCAAAGCTGGTAAGTTGACTAAAGAATAATGTGTGTGTATTTCTTTGTCATTTTATCACCTAGGTATATTTACATAACTGTCATCGTGGTTGGATATAGAACTATTCAAGATGTAGAACTAGTCCATTAACACTAATCTCCCTGATGCTATCCATTTATAGTCATAACCCCTACTATCCCTAACCCGTCAAACACTAATTTGTACTTCTTATCTGTAATTTTGTCATTTTAGCAATGTTATATAAATGAAATCATACAGTTTGTGACCCTTGAGATTGACTTTTTCTCACTCAGCCCAGTGCTCTGGAGATCTATCCAAATTGTTCTATGTCCCCCTTTCCCATTCTTGCTCTCAGTGCCAACATTCTTTAAGCTAAGCAGTATTCTCCCATGTGGGTACAGCACAGCTTGCTGAGCCATTTCATCTATTGTAGCACATATTAGTTGTTTCCAGTTTGGGGCTATTACAAATGAAGCTGCTATGAACAATTGTATATAGGTTTTTCTGGGACAGTCTTCATTTTTCTAGATAAATGTTCAGAAGTACAATTATTGGGTTTATATAATTGTGTGTTTAGTTTTTAAAGAAACTGCCAAACTTTTTCCAGAATGGTTATATCATTTCACATTACCATCAGGAACATATGAGCAATCTAGTTTGTCCATATTCTTTTTTATTTTTTTTATGTTATTCTTCATTTTGTTAATTTTTTTCATCTCAGTTGTATTTGATAATAATTGTCTGACATATTTTGATGCTCCTTCATTGGTGAATATATGTTGATGATTGTTACGGTTTCCTGATGTACTATCCCTTCAATCATAATGTAGTGACCGTTTGTGTCTCTTTATTTATTTATTTATTTTTTAGTTTGAAGTTTATTACCTGATATGAGTATAATTGTTCCTGTCTTCTTTTTTGGTTCACTTGCTCGTAGGATTGTTTTCCATCCTTTTACTTTCAATCTATGCTTCTCTTTTGTAGTTAAGTGTGTTACCTGTAGACAGCAAAAGGTTGGGTTCTGTTTTTTTATCCACTCTGCAACTCTGTGTCTTTTTATTGGTGAGTTTAGATCATCGATACTCAGTTAATATTGATATATTGAAATCTGGATTTTTCATTTTATGTGCTTTTATGTGATTCTTTCCTTTCCTCATTCTAGTCTTACTATTCACTCCTCTGTTGGCTTTAGTTCTGGGGTTCCTTGTAGTAATTTTTGTAGTGGAGGTTTAGTAGTGATGAATTTCTGGACATTTTGTTTGTCATGGGAAGTTTTTATTTTTCTAGCATAGAGGAAGGAGAGTTCCACAGGGTAGAGTGTTCTTGGTTGGAATTTGTTGACTTGAAGCTTGTTGATTATGTCCCTCAATTCTCTTTGTGCCTGTAGTGTCTCTTCTGAGAAGTGTGATGTTATCCTGATTGTTTTTCTTTTGTATATTATCTGTTTCTTTCCCCTTGTCAGCTTTATTATTTTTTCCTTGTCTTGGACCTTTGAAACTTTTACTATTATGTGTCTTGCTGTAGCTTTCTTTTCATGGTGGTAGTTTGGTGTTCCTCTGGTATTTCTGTTTCCATTTCCTCCTAAATGTTTGTGAAATTCTCTTCAATTATCTCTTGAACAGTGTTTCGGCTCCCTGTTTTCTCTCTTCACCCTCTGGAACACCAGTGATTCTTATATTTGTTTTCTTCATTGCATCTGATATTTCTTGGATTGTCTTTTCAGTTTTTTTTTTTCTTTGCAGTTTTCTTCCCTTTTCTTTTTTTGTTCTTTTTATGTCTGAATCTTCAAGAATGCTGAGTCATTTTTCCATTTCATACATTCTGTTGTCTTGGCTTTTCCTAGAGTTCTTGTGATCCTCCACCTGTCTTTTGATTATTCTCTAGATCCTTCACTTTCTTCCTCAGCTCATTGATTGTGTTTTTATCTCTTTCTACTTGTTCTTTTAGAACTTTAATTATTTCCATCATGGCCTTTCTGTGTCTTTGTTAGGTGGAGGTATTCTTCTGTTTCCATGATATTGTTTTCTGGGGAGTGACTTTCTCTCTGGGGTGTATTATTTCCAGAGGGGCCTGTTTGATCATTTCTGTTTTTTTGTTCTTCCTGTTAGCCTTCTGCTATGTTCCATTCTAGGTAATCCTGCACCACTGTTGCTGATGGACACGATTTCTAATTACTCTTGCTGTGGTGTGAATATGTCTGCCTGGTGTAGTTTGTCCACATTCTTACCAGCATCTGGTATTATACTGATTGGGTTCACTTTTTTATAACAACAACAAAAATATTCACCTAAATCCGGATCCTCCCTGGTGGCATAGTGGGTTAAAGCACAGCACTAAGAGGCTAAAGCCACTTAAGCATGCGTTCGATCCTCAGCCCCGGAGGTGACCACATGGCTGGCAGACCTCTCCTGATCCGACCGCTGCTCCCCTCAGCAGTGTACTTCGTCAGTCTGCCTGTTCTGCTCCCCACTCTGTCTCTAGTGAATCCTCTCACAACCCCTGCACCTCTGGCCTGTACCCCAGTTTTGTATGCATGAATAAATAAATCTTTAAAAGAAAAATATTCACCTAAA